GCATATCAGTGTATTTAGTTCTACATTTAGAGAAGATTTTCTTTATTATAGTAGCCGGTTTTTTAATCAGTGTAAAGAAAAACTGGTTGTTTACAAAAGCATTTTAATATTGATAAGGCATCTGCAACTTTTGTGAAGCATCAAATCACTGGCATATTAACTGTCAAAACATGTTTATGACTGCATAAATGTATTATTGCTTTTAAAAAAAGTCACATATTGTGCATTTCTATTATACACAATTTGTACTAAAGTAATTTAAAAAGTTCATGTCAATACATTTTCTCTTTGCACCACCAGGTGGCAGTCTTTGTACTTTTCTTTCGAGGGTGTAGATTGCATAAGTTTTATTAATATGTATAACTTCATTTATTGTATTAGTAACTATAACTATATATATATATATATATATATATATATATATATATATATATATATATATATATATATATATATACAGTTAAAAATATTTACCATTTTCCCAAGTATATATAACTACTACTGTAAGAAAATATTAGAATTCGGTACTTACTTTCTGTATTATCATTGCTTGAACTGAGCCGATCTAATCCTATTTCTATGAATTTAACCTGCTTCCGATCAGGTTTGACCTAGCAGAACTGTTGCTATGACAACAACTCTCAGATCAACTTTGAAGAACGAAACGATTCTGGATCGTGTTTAATCGTCAATATCTAAATACAGCTAACTGAGTAATCCACATACGAAGAACGGACCCCTGCTGACAAACTGGAATTCTTCGAAAGACGTTTTTATGAAAGACATAATGCCCTGTAAAACGCAGGACACCTGCAAGGGCTTGTCTGGGATTTAAAACCCCGGACCTCTCGCACACGAAACGAGACTCATACCCGGGGGTGTCCAAACTCAGTCCTGGAGGGCTGGTGTCCTGCATAGTTTAGCTCCAACTTCCTTCAACACACTTCAACTCCATGGAGCTTTCTAGTATATTTAGAAGAGCTTGATTAGCTGGTTTAGGTGTGTTTAATTGGTGTTGAAACTAAAATATGCCGGACACCGGCCCTCGAGGACCGAGTTTGGACACCCCGGCCCTAGACCAACGAGCCACTAAAGTGTTCACATTTTACATGGCGTCAGAAGTATCAGATAGTCAAAAATTTTTCTCTAACAAATCAAGGGCACCCTAAGCGAGAATCATACCCCTAGACCATTGAGCCACTGCAAAACAGCAACTTTACATGGCGACACTATCTGCCGACAAACTGGCATTCTCAGAAAAAGGCATCTGTGTAAGCCACAACGCCCTTACAAAACAGCAGACAACTTTAGGGGCTCAACCGAAATTTGAACCTGGGATTTGTCATGGCATGAACGAGAATCATACTCCAAGACCAGCAAGCCACTTTGCAAGAACTTTTTTATGTGGTGACACTATCTGCTGACAAACTGGAAATCTTTGAAACACCTTTTTATATTAGCCATAATTTTGAACCCAGGACCTCTCGCACCAAAAGCGTGAATCATACCCCTAGTAAAACAAGCCACTAAAATCTGAAGTTTTCACATGGCATCAGAAACAGCAGATAGTCAGAAATCAAGTGCAGAGAATTTGTAAGATGGAGGAAGAGAGTCTGAAACAATGGTGGATAGTCTATTGGGTGAGAGAGAGCGTAGGTTTCTGCGAAAGGCAACTTGTTTTGGAGTGTGTGGTGGCTCAGGAGTCCTGTGGATGTTGAGAGACAAAAGGAAATATTCCGATGTGTGTAGTGGAGTTACTAGTGTTTGATCAGTGAAGCAATGTCGAGTGTAAATAAGATCAGTAGCAGAAGTAGGTGCTCTTTTGAGGTCAAAAGAGGCAAGCAGAGTCTGGAAGTCAGTAGCTTGAGGTTTTTCAATGTGGATGTTGAAGTCACCTAGCACCAACAAGGGAGTGTCATAAACAGAAAAAGATGAGAGAAGAACATCCAGTTCATCTAAGAAGTGACCTAATGTACCTGGTGGGCGGTAGATGACAACCACATTTATGTAGAAGGAGTGGATAATGGTGGCTGCATGGAATTCAAAGGAGCTGATCTTTGCCAGTGACTATCTCTGAGTAAATTTCCATTCTTTGGAAATCAGTAGTCCAGTTCCACCCCCTCTCCCTGTCTGACGAGGAGTGTGGGAGAAAAAGAAATTAGCAGAATGAGTAGCATGTGAAGCAGTGTCCTCCGGTCTCAACCAGGTCTCAGTTAGAGCCATGAGATTATAGTCAGAATATGTAGCTATGGAGGTAATAAAATCTGCCTTGTGAACAGCAGATTGACAATTTCAGAGGCCCACGGAGAGAGAGAGTTGTGAAATAGCAGATACATGTATTGAATGAAGGTTGTGATAATTATTCCTGCAGCTTACCTCCCGTGCTTTGCGAGTGTTAGTAACAACAGGAATTAGTTAACACATAATAAAAGTGCAATGAAAACAATAATAAGTGCAAAGATTAAGTAAAATAAATAAATAAAGTACTCAGGTGCTTTGTCGGTCTTTGCTCGGTGGAGTCGCACAGGTAGAGTCAATGGTCTTTACACTCGTCGGTCTTCACACGCAGTGAGACTAGCTGCTTATATACACCCCTGAGCGCTTGCTGATAGAATTCAGCTTGAAATGCCTCAAGAGTTCCCACAATACAACAACAGAAACTGAGGCGAGGGGTGCAAAACCGACCGTGATCCACACACAAGCTCTTACAGTAACCAAGGAAACAGTGAGTAATCTTTCTAGCACTACACACAAACAACTGAAAACAAGTCTAAATGTACTTACACGCTGCTGGTCTCGTTGCTAAAGTGCTTCTCCTTATATGGTTGAACAAGCCATCCTACTTCCCTTACTTACATTGTCTATCCATCCATCTATTTATTCATTTTGTTTAGTAAATGTGTTATTTTTGAGGCTGACCTCAAAAAAATATAATAATTTTACTGCCAGAATTTTAGGTGCAGGCTAGGACTGTCTCTGCCATTGGCAGATAACGTTGTTTTTTTGGCTTCATAGGACATGGACCTTCAGCATGCAGTGGGACGGTTTGCTGCTGAGTGTGACATGGCAGGGAAATAAACAGCACCTCTGAGTCAGAAACCATGGTCCTTGACTGGTAAAAAGGTGGCCATCTCCAGTTTGGAGAGTCTTTACCCCAAATGGAGTATCTGCGTTTTTTTTGTTTGTTTTCATGAAAAATGGAATGTGAGATTAAAAGATGGATCAGTGCAGCGGCAGCAGTAATGCATTTGATGTGATTGTCTGTTGTGGTGAAGTAGCTGAGATGAAAGGCAATGTTCTAAATTTACCACTCAATCTAGGTTCCTACTCACATCTATGGTTATGACTGAAAGGACAAGATCTCAGTAACAACTGGACACATTTTGCAAAATGTTATGACCCGCTTGTTTGAGTTGCACCATACAAGTGAGATGAGACAACAAAATAGCTTGAATGCAAATTATTTATTATAAAATGTAACTCAGAACAATCAATCAAAGCAACCAACAAATGTCTAGGCATAATAATGAAGATAAAGAACTTAGGATATAATCACAACAACACTTTAACTACATAATATAAGTAATGCAAAACAAAACCATAGTTAAAGAGTCAATGAGATGGCAGGTCTTGACATGTGGACTCCTGAGTAGCCACAGCGTCCAGGGGTAGCTAGCACAACAACTTTTATATACCCATTGATGAGTAATGCAGGCATCCAATCAGGATTTACCACATATTCCAATCTGGAGTCTTGGGATTATCACATTGTATTAATATTGTAAAACTAAATACTTGTCGCTCTGCCTAAATCATCAAATATTCATCAAGTTTGTATTCTACTCAAAACAGTAACTTTAGTAAACTAGAAATAATTTTGAATCTAAAAGTAAAGAAACTTTACTAATAAATAGATGATTTGTTTCTCATTCAGGGAGTCAGACAAAGAACATCATCGAAAACAACACTAGCTACATGAATACACTGAAGAGTAGAGTACAGATGTATCCGCACCTGTACAATCACTTGCAAAAAGATTTTAAGCAGCAGAGATGCTGTTTGCCAGATGTTTATGAAACTGTTCTTCTCTCAGTTGCCATCATTGTGTTTACAGTAAACGCAAGGAGCGCAACACATTTCTACAAAATTTTCACAGAGGCACAACAAACACACAGACGCAGGGGAGAAAGACAGTGACTGTTTACATCAGGGGTCTCAAACTCGCGGCCCGCGGGCCATTTGCGGCCCTCAGTGCAATATTTTGTGGCCCGCGCCGACCGCAGTACACTGACAGAATCAACGGAGCGGGGAGAGAGAGCGCTCTCCGCTCCGCTAATTCTATCCGTACACAGCGGTCACTGGCATTCCCCGCCCGCCGTGTAAACAAAGGGGCAGGGATGCCGGTGACGTCACCACGCACCCCGCCCCTTTGTTAGACGCTGTGACGGGCGGGAAGTGTTTAGGAGGGAACTCGCGCCGGCCAGAACCAAGGTAAGCTGTTCCCGCCCCTGCCTGCCACTTAGCTACCTAGCTACAGCCTGCATATGTATTATAGGTAGATACAGACTGGTACAGACTGATGTGACTGGAGTGGGGTGGGGGTGTTTTTAAATGCCATGTTCAGAAGAACTGTTCATAATCTTCACTCAATGTTCTATTAATGTTCAGGACATTTCATGTTCAGAAGAAATAATTAAAACTGTTAATAATGACATTTGAGGACTTTTTTTGTGAAATCCCTTATGCGGCCCAGCCTCACCCAGACTTTGCCTCCTGCGGCCCCCAGGTAAATTGAGTTTGAGACCCCTGGTTTACATGGACATCAGTAACTGACTGTTTAATGACAGTGGAATGTTTGATACCGCACATTGTATAAGAGAAAAAAAACTGCATTTCTCGGTAACTGAGATGCACTCAGTAAGTCAGAAAGCCATGTGCGTGTGTAGACTATCCTGTCAAAAAACGCGTTTACATGTTTACACTCAGAGAGCAGCATTTACAGCAGATCCTTCAGTCCATAATATTGTAGTGATTTTAACGTACTGACTTTAAACAATTCCTCTTCTCCCACTTGTTTTGGCAACCCAACTAGTCGTCTCTCTGCCGTCTGAACACTGTTTGAGGTAAAACAGTCTTTAAAGCTATCATACATATTAATGAAGTTGCCCCGAATACACAATAGAGCGCACTGATTGGTTTGAACAAAGTCTTTTTCATGAATGAATGCAGTACACTCAGAGACGTCATGAAATACTCCCAGGTACAGACAGACAGTCTACATGCTGGAATACACGCAAGGAAGTGTATGGGTAGAAAAGTCCAGTGTGACCATGGCTTAAGTGCATGTGAATGGTTTCTTTCCAGTGTGGATCCTCATGTGTTGATTAAGGTATGATGAGCGGCTGAAACTCTTCCCACACTGAGTGCATGTGAATGGTTTCTCTCCAGTGTGGATCCTCATGTGGTGATTAAGGTGTGATGATTGGCTGAAACTCTTCCCACACTGAGTGCATGTGAATGGTTTCTCTCCAGTGTGGATCCTCATGTGTTGATTAAGGTATGATGAGCGGCTGAAACTCTTCCCACACTGAGTGCATGTAAATGGTTTCTCTCCAGAGTGGATTCTCGTGTGGTGTTTAAGGTGTGATGATTGGCTGAAACTCTTCCCACACTGAGTGCATTTGAATGGTTTCTCTCCAGTGTGGATCATCATGTGTAGAATAAAGTTTGATGATTTGCTGAAACTCTTCCCACACTGAAGGCATGTGAATGGTTTCACTCCAGTGTGGATCCTCATGTGTTGATTAAAAGATGATGAGCAGCTGAAACTCTTCCCACACTGAGTGCATGTGAATAGTTTATCTCCAGTGTGGATCCTCATGTGGTAATTAAAGTGTGATGATTGGCTGAAACTCTTCCCACACTGAGTGCATGTGAATGGTTTCTCTCCAGTGTGGATCCTCATGTGGTGATTAAGGTGTGATGATTGGCTGAAACTCTTCCCACACTGAGTGCATGTGAATGGTTTCTCTCCAGTGTGGATCCTCATGTGTTGATTAAGGTATGATGAGCGGCTGAAACTCTTCCCACACTGAGTGCATGTAAATGGTTTCTCTCCAGAGTGGATTCTCGTGTGGTGTTTAAGGTGTGATGATTGGCTGAAACTCTTCCCACACTGAGTGCATTTGAATGGTTTCTCTCCAGTGTGGATCATCATGTGTAGAATAAAGTTTGATGATTTGCTGAAACTCTTCCCACACTGAAGGCATGTGAATGGTTTCACTCCAGTGTGGATCCTCATGTGTTGATTAAAAGATGATGAGCAGCTGAAACTCTTCCCACACTGAGTGCATGTGAATAGTTTATCTCCAGTGTGGATCCTCATGTGGTAATTAAAGTGTGATGATTGGCTGAAACTCTTCCCACACTGAGTGCATGTGAATGGTTTCTCTCCAGTGTGGATCCTCATGTGTTGATTAAGGTATGATGAGCGGCTGAAACTCTTCCAACACTGAGTGCATGTAAATGGTTTCTCTCCAGAGTGGATTCTCGTGTGGTGTTTAAGGTGTGATGATTGGCTGAAACTCTTCCCACACTGAGTGCATTTAAAAGGTTTCTCTCCAGTGTGGATCATCATGTGTAGAATAAAGTTTGATGATTTGCTGAAACTCTTCCCACACTGAAGGCATGTGAATGGTTTCTCTCCAGTGTGGATCCTCATGTGTTGATTAAGGGATGATGAGCAGCTGAAACTCTTCCCACACTGAGTGCATGTGAATAGTTTCTCTCCAGTGTGGATCCTCATGTGGTAATTAAAGTGTGATGAGCTGCTGAAACTCTTCCCACACTGAGTGCATGTGTATGGTTTCTCTCCAGTGTGGATCCTCATGTGTAGATTACGGGACCACGATAAGCTGAAACTCTTCCCACACTGGGTGCATGTGAATGGTTTCTCTCCAGTGTGGATCCTCATGTGAATCTTAAGAATGTATTTTCTTCCAAAACTCTTTCCACACTGAGTGCAGGTGAAACGATTCTTGTCTCTCCTTTTTAAAATACCATCAGTCTGTAAAAAAGTTTTTTCCTCAATTTTGACATGATGTTCCTCCTGTTTACTCCCCTCGTTTTCTTCAGTTAGGTCTGAAATAAAAAAAAATAAAACATTAGTTTTCATTAAGTCTTTTCATTAAGTCTTAAAGGGCACCTAGGTTACCCCTTTTTTCAGATTTAATATAAGTCTTTTGCGTCTCTAGAATGTGTATATAAAGTTTCAGATCAAAATACCCATCAGATTTTTCATTATACCTTTTACAAGATGCTGTTTTTTACTGATTTCCAGCAGGGGGTGGTTTTGTCGTACTGCGCCTTTAAGCCGAGTTCTGCCCGCCCACTGTTTCTACATGCCTCCTCCCTCAGCTGCGTCAGACAACAGACAGACTTAAAGGAAGAAGGTCTCACGTTGTGTTTGTGAGATACTACAGTAAGAACTAACCTTTACTAATCAGTATTGTGAAGTTGCATTGATGAGTCACACACATACAATATCGTTACAAAGTTAACGCGCGCACACACACACACACACACAGATACACACGCAGGCAGGCAGGCAGACACACAGAGCGCGCTTAGCTTAGTTAAGGCTAACCTCAAGTACTGTGTGGATATCTGTTATGCTAATGTACAAAATAAACCTGATTTAACTTCCACAAACCGGGATTGAAGCGTCTTCTTTTATAATTGTTCTGACACGCGGCTGTGCTGATGAAGTAAAGCTGAAGTAAAACGCTGTAATTAATTACACACATATTCTGTTTTAAAACACTTTAAACATGTGAAACTTACTCTTAATCACATTTGATGATGCTTGCTGATCCTAGCGAACAGAACAGACCTTTTATTCCCGGTTGCTTTGCGTATGTCTGTCTGGTCTTGTTGACATATACACGCGACTACCGGAACATGTTAATGCGCGCAGCTGTCAATCAATTCGGTGGGCGGGGGGATCGCACACCTACGTAATGGTGCGATCGATTTGAAAACAGCTCTAATTGGCAGACCCTTTTTTTGTAGTTAAATTGAAAAAAAAGGACTGGTTGTGTTCATATCACCCCAGTATGACGGTCGATACACTATACCAACACACAGATCTGTCCAAACAGCTTGAAAAGTAGATTTTTTACCATAGGTGCCCTTTAAGTCATCCTTATTTATCTAGTGCTTTTGCAATGTAAATTGTGTTAAAGCCACTTAACATAGAAGTTAAAGTAAATTTAAACTGTCAGTCCAGTTTTCAGAGTTTCTTACATAATTGATCATAAAAGTCATTTTGGTCATATTGATCAGACAGATTTGAAAGCTGTAAATGGCCTATTTTTATTCCTATATATTCACAATTACAACAAAATGTTTTTCTAAAATGTGTAAAGCAGACAGGGAATACTTGTATATTCTGTGCCTGACTGGTAAACACACCAGAAAAAAAAGTTATTGCGTAACAGCTGAACAAACAGCTGAATTTTTGCCTTGCAGACATGAGACATGCCTGTCAGCATCTGCATAAAGCAGGGGTTCTCAACCTTTTGCAAGCTGGGCCCCCCCAAAGCCGGTTTATTGCAGCTAGGGCCCCAGTGACTCAGAGAGGGTACAAGGACCTTACATTTTTGAGGCTTGCTTAGCTTCTCGAAGAGAAATCAAACAAATGAGCTCTTTCTAAAGTCTATGAGCACAGCACACACAAATAAACTAAATTGACATACTGCAGTTATATTTCGAAATGTGTTTTTTTTTTATATTTATAACATTTGAATACAGTTCAGCAACATACATCACACAACCTGACGACAAAGGGAGCTGACAATTGAACATCACTAAATTTACCATCACCTCAAGATTAAACATTTTACACTGATTTCATACAGGGTTCATACAGACACAGTCTAATGAAAATCAAAGACTTTTAGGCACTTTTTCCAGCATCTACTTTTATTGTTGAAACTGACATGCAATGTATTGACCACCTGAAATGTATTCTCAGCAACCCATAAAAACATTGCATAGTAACTATTAGCAAATTATTGTTATAATTAAATAAATGAGGTAGCCTTCCCAGTATAAAATAACAGTAGCAGACCTAACTTTATAGCTACAGCTCGGCAGAGTCAGCACAGGTATAAAAACAGGTGGTTTTATTTCTGATGAGAATATTTATTGTTGTCAGACTTCACTCTCACATAAATACACCTAAATAAATCAATCAAAACTCATAGCTAATCAGGATAGCCTGTGCGTGTAGGGGGAGAGTCAGAGGAGGGGAAGGTCCGTAAAAATTTGCATAAAAAAGGGAGTGTCAGTTTTGGGCACGTGCTGATTTTCACAGAGGCAAAACAAACACACAGACGCAGAGGAGAAAGTCAGTGACTGTGTTTACATGGACATCAGTAATCAAATTATTTGCCAAATCATTAAATGGGGGATTTTAATTGCAGTTTGGCTCTTTCATTCAGGAATTTCATTCGTGCCTGGTGACAAACGAGATATTTGATTCGAGGAATTGCTGGAAGCGTGTATCTTTCATGCAATGTTTGTTGCAAAAAAAAAATCCTTCACATTTCTCTGTAACTTAGATGCACTTGGTAGGTAGTGTCAGAAAGCCATGTATGTTATTCCTGTCACAAAATGTGGGTGTAAGTTTAATTGTGGTGCTATAATGTTTACACTCGGAGAGCAGCATTATTTATCGTACGGTAAACTTTATTAACTTAGAAACCATTTGACTAAGGTCTGTCTTTAAACACTGAAAGAGTACTGCTGACGAACTAACATTGCCTCTGAATAAACAAACAAAAACCACTGGTCGCTCACTTAACACATACTGGAGCTCTGTCTTTTATTAAAGGAGACGAGCAGCAAATCTAGATTTCACCATTTTCAGATGAGAAAAGCTCTCGGGTAAAAAATGTTCCTTAGACACACGTTTCTGTCACGCGTCGCGTGCAGCATAATCCACACGTGAGTCCAGCTACGCTATCATAGAGGGAAAATAAAAACAAAACCTTCACTGCAGCAAATTATAAAACGCAACACTGACGACCCGAATCTCCAAATATTTCTTGTTCTCCCACTTGGCAACACAACGTGGCATCTCTCTGCCGTCTGAACACTGTACAGGTACAAACAGTCTTCAAAGATATCATGCACATTAATGAGGTTGCACTGCATACACAATAGAGCGCGTTGATTGGTTTCAACCAAGTCTTACTCATGAATGAATGCAGCACACTCAGAGACGTCATAAGGTACTCCCAGGTAGATGTTCAGTCTACATGCTGGAATACACGCTAAGATCTCATGGCCGTGAGGCAGCTTCAATAATTCATTTTAAACCGGAAGTACGAATTTGCTCAAAATAACGCAAAAACAACCAATTTTCACTTTTTGGTGAAATATGTGTGTCCTAATAGTGTTTTTAGCAGTGTGGGACACATATACGACTGTCAACAACTCAAAAAATGTGTTTTGGTGTTTTGTGACTCTTAATGTCAGAAGTAGAGTATGGTGGTATTGTTATTTTGGACCATTGTCCAGTCTCACTAAAACTATGTTTTCCAGGCAATGTTATCCCCCAATGTACATGACGGTTTAACTCAAGACTATTGGCAGATGACGATTTTGTAAAATTTATTGATGCTCAAATAGATTTCTACTTTGAGACAAACAAATCCCCAGAGATAAGTTAAAGTATCCTATGGGATACTCTGAAAGCATATAAGAGGACAGATTATTTCAGGTCAACGTAGTGCAAATAAAAGTATGCCAAAACGGCTTACAGAGATTATGAATAAAATACAATGGATCAGCTACACTCAACATCACCTTCTGAATAGCTCCATAAAAAAAGACTTCTTCTGCAAGTGGAATATGACTCCTTGACAAGTGAAAAGGCGTTATGAACGAGCTGGCAGGTTATTGTGTTACCAACTGAAATGATCCTCAGCAGTTGGTTTTATAGTTGCAGCTCTGAGGTAAACAAAATTGAAAGTAATGAGGGTTTTTTCTTTAATTATTTGGAATTAGCATCTGTGATTCACATCAGTTGGCATCAGAAGGAAAATAACACCTTCTGAAATTGAAAATGCAATCCAAAAAATGAACACCAGAAAATTGAAAACTTAATCTGGCCCTGGTGGCTTCCCAGCTGAGTTTTATAAGAAGTTTACTGTCACGCTTACACCCCTGTTGTGCAAGGTATTTGCTGAAGCTCTTGTCTCGGAATCACTCATCCTCTTTATGACATCGGCTGCTATAAAAGTACTTCTTAAAAGGTAAAATGATTTATTTAAATGTGAATCTTATCATCCGATCAACTTAATCTGCTGTGATTATAAGATCCTGGGGTGTTTCTAGAAAACCTAGTAAGAGCTTGTTTGTCAAGCCAAGGTGTGTCTGATTGGCGTCGGAACTAAACTTTGCAGGACACCGGACCTCCATGACTGAGTTTGGACATGCCTGCTCTAGGGGAACGAGACAGGGCTACCCTCTGTCCCCTCTGCTTTTTGACATTGCCCTTTAACCTCTTGCAATCGTAAAGAACTCAGATAGCTTGCAAAGAGTTTTCAGAGAGGGACAAGAACATAAGTTCCTGCTATATGCTGATGATCTTCTTTTTATGTCAAATCCAGATACATGTATTTCAAAAGCTCTTACAATAATTTCAGAACTGGCAAATGTTTCTGGATACATAGTCAATCTAGCCAAGTGTCTCCTTTTCCCTATCAATGATAGAGCACAGCAAATGTCCTTCCAATCCTTTCCATTTTCAGCAAGTCCTGATAAATTTGTATATCTGGGTGTGAGTGTGACACGCAAATATAAGGATTTGTTCAATAATCATTTTAAAACAACATTAGACAAAGCCAAACGAGACATGGCATGGTGGTCAATCCTTACTTTATCTTTGGATGGGAAGATCAATTCCATTAA